CAGTGTTGCCAATCATAAAAATGCAGAAATCCAACTATCCATACAAAAAATTCCCAATTTTTCCCGCCCCAAAAGAAAAATGCGGTTATTCATTATTTTCTCTCTTCCAACCCGCAAGTGTGACCTTTGAAGGATACTAAATACTGAAGTGCCTATGGGTACGTATATAAATGAAGTTTTTCGTACATTTAATATACCACTCTGTGTATATATACGATCTCTTCAACGAACATCTTGTATATCAAACACTATGATATAAGATTTCGTATACAAAGAAAAAACAAGACAACCAGAGAACTTTTTATTTTTCTTTCCAAATGTTCGATTTCAACATAGTTTTATCTACCTTAAATTCTACAACATTAGTAATTCCTTGTTTTGTTGCTATTAGAGCGTTAATAGTGGCCGTATTTAATTTGTTTCTATGGTCAGTTTTTATGTTTTTTAAATCGCTGAATATTCTTTCCACAGAAGCATTTGAAAACGGTAAAACTAAGAGGAAATTAATAACTGTCTTTAAGTTACTAAAAAGCTCAATATTCGCAGCGTTTTTTAAGGCAAATATTTTTTGCCAATATTCCTGTGCATCATATGAAATATTAATACCTAATTTATGTAAGTCCAACAAAGCATGTTCTTTCCATTCATTATCCAATTCTTGAATATCTATAAAATCATTTAAAAATGGAAATCTTTTAACTACAAAATTTAGTGATTTTACTTCAAATCCATATGCAAACCCTGGATCAACAATTTTAATTATTTCAAACACAGGATCACTAAAATCAAATCGAGTTTTTATATCAGTTACAACCTCAATATAAAAATTTAAGCAACTTTTAAAAAACCTTTCAATGTCTTCTCGTGCTACATTAGGATCGTTCTTTAAATTCTGGATGCTTTCAGATGCTTGAATACCAAGGTACAGCTGATCTAATGGAACGAAATTGGTGGGATCAGTATGGTTTAATTTCAAAACGGAACCTTGTTTTCTAATGTACTTAACATCTATAAAATTACTGCACAGTGATTTTAATAGGCTCTCTACTTGAGGTTTTAATTTATGCAATAGGGGCGCTTCTGATTGAAACATTAGATTAAACCCATTTAACAATTCTAAAGTATACGACATAAATTCTAAATATATTTTAGTAAAATGATTTTCGATGGTTTTCAACATGTCATCGTTACTTATTGAAGGATCTGTGAAAGTTAATTCTCTCAAATAAGCCTTAAGTGGATCATACTGTTCCAGTACTCTATCAGTACATTGTTTCATAGACAACCATCTAGTAGTAGCATGTGACAGTATTTTATGAATATCTGTCTTAAAAAACTCTTGAAATTCTCGAAATCTTTCTTGTCGCAAGTGGCTTCTATTAAAATGAGACCCTAAATTTCTAAGTAAATCTTCCACTGAACGTGGAAGTTTCAAACATGCTTTTGATGCACTTAAATGAATCATATGACAAGAACATTTTACACAAACAATGTTTTTTAATTCTGCTTTTAAAAATGAAAAAACTGAATTATTATGTCCAACCATGACATTGGTTGTATCTGAAGAAAACCCAACAAGATTTGTAAGAGGAATATTTTTGCTTACAATTACTTCTTTAAGTGATCTATACAGATCTTCCGCTTTACCTGAACTAATTTCTATCATGTCAAAAAACTTTGTCACAATTTTGCCACTATTTGGATCACAATAAATTACAGTAAACGCACACTGTTTTTTTACTCCAATATCTGTCGTCTCATCCATGATAATAGAAAAAAATGTGCCAGGAATTTGAAGAATAGAGTACAGATCCTCAAAAAAAAACTTTCCCAAACTGTTTGTGATTAAGGCAGTAGCTTTCGTCCTTTTAAGCGATAGTTTTTGTGCTATCTCAGAGTCCGGAAAGATATTTTTGCACAATGGAGCTAAGGTATCCATTAGTGAAAAAGATAAATTATTGGTGGCTAACAAAGCAGATAATTTTAATTCAGCATTTCTGACATTGTCGTCTGTTGGCGAGATTTTATATAAATTTGGGATTTTAGTATTTGTGGATACTTGTTTCATGTTCAAATTGTGCTTTTTGGACAAGCTGTGGCGTAATATTCCAGTTTTGTGGCACATTATTTCCGTTTTACATAAAACGCAGTAACACAAGTCATGTCCACTCTTGTCTGTTCTTCTAGATTTCTTCAGCCAGTTTTGAAATTGTGGTACGCTAAGCCATGATTCACAAAATTTATTCACATACATTCCTTTTTCTCGTTTCTTTTTGGAAGGCTTTTCAACGTTCGAGAACGATTCCTCTTCACTAGTCAGCTCGTGGTTGTCCTATTAAAATGAATTTTAATAACCATGTATAGCAAAGCAATAGATTTTATCACAAATTGCAACTTACCATGGAATCCAAGTCCATTTCGATGGAACTGGAACCCTCCTCCTCGTTTTCATCAGGATCATTCCTTTCTACAGTGTTACACTCACTAGCAGTAGATTTCTAAACACAATGATTAAAACGAATTGTAGATAACAAACATCTTTAAAAATTACCTTAATCAGCCACCTCTCCATTTTAAACAATAAAAGAACAACACAATCATAAACAAACGTTAACCTAACTTGTGGTAAAGTGTTACGCGCTGGCGTGGCGCGGCGCTGCCTTTCGTTCCGCGTGTTTGTGGCTGTGGCTAAACTGCTGTTTATTTTCGATTACCACAGAGTAGGTCTCGTACAAGAACAAGCGACCATTATCACAGAGCAGTTAAAAATGTTGTAATTAATAATTAAAAACTGTACTTAATATTCATCAAAGGTACATAAGCATTTTATATTTTATTTTATAAGTATTTGTCCCATTTCACGAATAAAATGTGAAAAATTCCCCAAATTTCCCCCAACATGATCATTCCCGAAAAAATTCCATGCGGTGGTTAAATATCCCGCCAGTCGGGAAAATTCCCTCACATTGGCAACACTGAGGGAACTGCTCCGATTTTGTTACAAAATATTTAGTTAATATTTTTCGAACATTGTTAGCTTGTAGACCACCCGTGCTGTTGGCTCTCTTACAAATCTTCCAAACAGTTATTGTTGTGTATCTTCTGGCAAATAACCGTCCCGGTCACGAACAAAATTGTGCAGAACAATGCACGCTTTACAATGTCAACTGCAAAATCCGGTTCAACGTTTATAGGCCTGTGGAAGATGCGCCATTTGTGCTTAATATCCCAAAGCACACTCGACATAACGCCGAGCCCCACACAAACGATAATTAAATACTCTCTTTCAACCGTTAGATGTGATCCACCGTAGGCCGCATTAAATGAGTGTGAAGACCAAACGCTTCGTCTCCAACAAAGTAGTAAGGAACTTTAGGAGATTCTGTCCCCGGCAGGCATTTTTCTTCAGGTAATTGTAATGCGTTTGTCAGTATCGATTGCCAAAGAGTAGATTGCTTGAAAATAGAGGGATCGCAATCTTTGCCAAAGCTTCCAACACTAACATAAATATAACGATATTTTGAATCAGCTACTGCCATTAATACTACAGAGTAATAGTCTTTGTAATTAAAAAACATGGAACCACTTCTTATCGGACAAGTTATGCGAATGTGCTTCCCATCGACCGCGCCTATGCAATGTGGAAAGTTCGCATTTTTTTCAAAATCAGAAGCAAAGTTTGCAAGATAATTTTTAGAGAGTTCAGTTATACACTGATTACTAACCAGATGGCTTGGCATACTTCTTTTACTATTTTCCTTGCAGTAGAAATCCCAACTTTGAAGGAATCGTGTAGGTCCGTAAAGGTGCACCCACTCGCAAGATATCTGAAAAAGAAGGCTTAGTAGCATTATGTAGTCTATTCAATAAATAATGCCAAAATCGGCCTCGTAGACAGAATTTTTCATAAAAATTATATGCATTGTTAGCCCATACCACAATGAGTAAAGAAATTCCATATATAAATCCTTCATTGGTGCCTTATGAAGAGGTTTACAATTCAAAATACTATTTAGATTTAATTGTTACAGGAAAAGAAGTAACAAAGAGATGGGGCAATCTTCGGGATGCATTCACGAAGTCGAAGAGAAAGCTAAAAGAGTCTAAGAAGAGTGGAGCTGGTGCCGCCAAAATTAAAAAATACGTCTACGCTGACCAAATGCAATTTTTAAATAAATTGATCCAGTCGAGGGAAGTTGTAGAAAGTTTGGAAGATAGAACAGACGACAATGAAAACAAAGATGTTTATAATCCACTCGAAGCCCCACTACCCCGCAAAGAGACGATCTGTGAGAACCCCAATCCTAAACCGCAAGAATATAAAAGACGTCGCCGGCCTGACGAGGTTGAGCTAAAAATGATGAAAGCGTTAGAAGAACCAGCACCTAGTCCTCATATTTCGTTTATTCAAGGACTTTTGCCTCATTTGAACAAGTTCGGTGACAGTGAAATTCTTGAATTCCAAATGGGTGTTTTGGAAGTAATTTCTAAAATAAACAACAAACGCCAAAACACTGCTCAACCTCGACCCCAAGTATTTCCACCGCAAACACCTTCCTACTATCCCAATAACAACTATTCTTTCCCGGAGTATCAACAGTTTCCCCCATCACAATCTTATTCCAATCAATTCAGCGCAATTAACAGCTTTCAACCACAACAGCCCCAAACGCATCAGTACCCAAATCCCCAAACCTACCAATTCAAAAATCCACAAAATGCCAATAATATCGATTCAAACCACCAGCAGGCATGCTCTTCGAAAGCACACACACTTGAACGTCAACAAGAACAAACCACTGCACAATACTATCAAGATTTTGGCCACATTTCAGCCGCCACGTCTCCAGAGACAGAGACCTGCCCATCGGCGAGCCCCTCCCCAGGTGGATCTGTGTATTCAGATACTACCTATGACTTTACTTAAATACAACTTGGTTAAAGTTTTATTTACTTTGCAAAGAATATATCAATGTACAATGTAAAATCTAAAATGTACAATAAAATGAAATTAATATTGTGTGTTTATTTGTTCTCCATACTTTCTTGAATGGTTCTTTGTACCCCAAACTGGCAAACTAGGGTTCTTGTGAAAATATTTCCATCAATTTAAAACCATATAATACTATACTTTGCATTGGGGTAAAAAATGACACCCCACTTTTTTTTACGGGAATACACGTTTTTAAGTACCAGGAATCCGAATTAAACAAAATCTCAAAGATGTCGGTCTGTCAGTCCGTCTGTACTCTCATTTTCGGCTAAACGGCTGAAGCGATTGGAACCAAATTTGGACATAGGTATATTCATATTTTTTTTAAATACCTAATTTAGTGCATTGTGTATATACATACGTATTTTATACTTACCTCAATGTTAAAGCAAGCCTTTCTCGTGAAGGAATAGAGTTTCTCATTTTAGTGTTCTGGTGTTGGATTTCATTTTTCAACTTCTCATGGAGCTCGTCAAAGGATGCAATTGACATTCTGAAGAAGTTGAAAAATTTACTGTCATCAAGCCTTAGTTCTTCAAAAAGAGTGTAGAATGTTCCCGTGCGTTCTCTGCTTTGATTGATAGGATGAATCCAGCACTTGCGCTTAATCCTACGGTGCTTTATGCGGCGATACAATAACCACATAGCAACAACTCGTCTAGGTTTCATTATTATTCAATCACCTCATGACACGACAACAAAGCAATTGATTGTTTGACCGGTAAAAATCCGTTATGTCTGCAAGCACCTGCTATCGATAAAATATCGGCCGATTTTTTGCCGACCATCCAAAATCGGTGTGTGTGCAAATAGCCTTAAAGGTACCTATTCACGTTCAGTCGGCCGGCCGGCTATGGCCGGAAAGGCCGTGGCCGGCAGGCCATTTTTCACTACACACACACAGTTAACTGACAGGCAGCTGCCTGCCGGCGGCCTGTTGACTGTTAAAACTGAACGTGTGTAGTGGTTGGCCGGCCGGCATTGGACTGAAGGGAAAATTTTAGTCCAGACTAAAATTATTTACTAATAATACCATTAATAAGCAGGCCGAGGTAGGCGAAGTATTTAAGTGGTGCGACATAGTAGCAAAAAGTGTGATTTCAGTGATTTTAGTGGTGGATAGTGCTGTGTATTAGTTAACCCCATAAAGTGTAACAGTATTGAGTGATTCGACGACGTTGAAAAAATGGCAAACCAACCAAGTTTCATCAAAGATTTTATTGAATTATACCAAAAGCATAAATGTTTGTGGAAAATAAAGGACTCCAGTTATGCTAACAAAGCTTTACGAGCAAAAGCCTATCAAGAATTGCTTGAGTTGTATAAAACAGTTGATAGTGAAGCCACGGTAGAATCTGTGAAAAATAAGATTAATAACATGAGAAGTGCATTTAGAAAAGAACTTAAAAAAGTGAAGATGTCAAAGAGAAGCGGTTCTTCGGCCGACGAAATATACACGCCCTCCCTTTGGTACTATGACCTACTTTTATTTACGACAGATCAAGAAGAATGTAGGGAAACACTGTCTTCCTGCGTAGATATACAAGACGAGTCTGAAAANTGAGGTCCGTGAAGTTAGCACGGTCATTGAAAGCACTAACGACGGTACATGATCACATTGTTAGTGCTTCGTTAGTGCCTCTTAGTGCTTCATAACTTGCATCAGCACGACCGGCCGTTTCCGAGAAAACGACCCCCCCTTATGTAGTGCTGACTTCCTACCCTCGTTAAAAGCACTAACGACGGTACATGATCATATCGTTAGTGCTTCGTTAGTGCCTCTTAGTGCTCCATAACTTGCATCAGCACGACCGACCGTTTCCAAAAAAACGACCCTCCCTTATGTAGTGCTGTCTTCCTACCCTCGTTGAGAGCACTAACGACCGGACAAGTACCGATCGTTAGTGCTTCGTTAGTGCCTCTTAGTGCTTCATAACTTGCATCAGCACGACCGGCCGTTTCCGAGAAAACGACCCTCCCTTATGTAGTGCTGACTTCCTACCCTCGTTGAGAGCACTAACGACCGGACAAGTACCGATCGTTAGTGCTTCGTTAGTGCCTCTTAGTGCTTCATAACTTGCATCAGCACGACCGGCCGTTTCCGAGAAAACGACCCCTCCTTATGTAGTGCTGACTTCCTACCCTCGTTGAAAGCACTAACGACCGGACAGGTACTAATCGTTAGTGCTTCGTTAGTGCCTCTTAGTGCTTCATAACTTGCATCAGCACGACCGGCCGATAATCAAGTAAGGTGTTAATATAATAAAGTCCATGGTGGTATGAAAAATGTAATTAAAATATTCGTGAAACAAAAATGTATCCCGAATGGTACACTATGAACCGGCGATTCCCTAACCGGCAATGGCCAAACCGGCGACGACTAGCCGGCGCTATGCCAAACCGGCGTTCAGTTAAACCGGCGCTATGCCTTGCCGGCGCTCGTTCAACCGGATGCATTCCTTTGTGTGGATTGGATTAATAAAACGCATAGTACCTATCTATTAAAAGTTACGATCAATGCCAATGCCGACAGAACAGTTATATGTACTTAGTTAATCTGATTTCTCTTGTTTGACCACTTTGAAAATCATAGTAAAAGTGCTAACAAACCCTCCAGCACCCCACCTAAAATAATCTGAGAATTCCATCGACATGTTCATATTATGGCCATCCATGCATTCAAAATGTGGATATTACATAATTTGCAGATCGCATCGACTGAACAAGCGCTCATATGCCGCCTTGACACACGCCGGCATGACCGAGCGCCGGCTTGGCACGTCGCCGGTTCGTGCATTGCCGGCTTGGAATCGCCGGTTTGGAATGTTCCGTATCCCGAAGTATTTGAAGATCGTTGACCAAAAATAAAAATTAAATTTCAGAATTTTTTCCCAGAAAAGGATTCTATCCAGCCGCAAAGCCTCAAACAGATTATGGTTTTGTAGTTGTAAATTAAAAGTATCTAGGTATGTACATGCTGGTTCCTATGGAAAGAGGATTAAGTAGGCGCGCGGCGCGTCTTGGTAGTAAAAAGTACTTGTCGGTCTCTTTTTTAAAGTCGTCACTGTCACTTGTCAGCGTCTTTGGCATATTTTTTGTATTTGTAAAATGACTCCTCTCCCACGTCCTATAAACTGCAGTTTTGTGTACCTACATAGTAATGTTATTTAGTCTGCTCAACTGAGTGAGTTAAATCTTAAATGTCAATTTCAAAATAAATACGTACCCCGGCTTTTTTATCCACTTCGCCCACTGAATTGCTGATAGTATCATTGTCTGCGTCTCCCACATTATCATATCCCATGACACCTTTTTAAATTATTTTACTCTATGATTCTGATCATTTATTTCTTCTGATCAGATATCCCTAGTGTCAGTTTTTTAGTGGATTGTGTTGTATAGATTTAGTTGTGTGTTACTTTCAATTCATATTCAAAGGTTGTATGTAATTTGAGTGAAAACGATTTAATTTGATACATCTAAACAAGGTAAGTGTAAGTATTTGATTTTACTGATTGATATTTTATGGGAATCCTTTTATAACATCTTAGACATTCTGAAATTCCATTTGACCCACGATTTAACAAATAATTACAATAGATTTCAGTAATATAAGGTACTCCTTATTTCCAAATTTCGAAATTCAGACCCGTTTTTTAAACATTGATGAAAAAGAACTCATTTCTAAATTTCAACTTATTACCTCTTATACTTCCTGTTAAGTAGACAGGTTGTTTAATTTATTGACAGAGAAACTTATTATGGAAACGAAGAAAAATGTGTACGTTAAGGCGTAAGTGATGGTTGCAAAATTTTTTTTTCTTCGATAAAAGAAATTATATGTTTACCTTTTTCCGTAATTTATTATACATATTTAATTTGTTTAATCAATCATTTCAATAACACGTGTATGCTTCAATTCCCTACATTTTAACATATTTTATAAATTAAATACAGTGCTATATTGTTGGCTTTTTCCGCCCGTCCGTTCGTTCTTCATTGACTGATGGATTATATTATACCTATCTTTTAGATGCCGAAAAAACCTGCATTAAGTTATCAAGAAGTTCTTCGCGCCTTAGAAAAATTTAAAGCAGAAATTCAGCCAAATATCAACCACTCCTCGGCAACTGTTTGGCAGACGATTAGTAAATCTTTAAGCGGTTTACTTTCTGCGAAAGCAGTGTATACGTTTGTTAAATGTAATAAACATAATTGCCTGCAACTGCTAAACATTAACGAAGAACTAAATAGGCACAAAATATTTTCAGTGTCACAACAATCTTCAGACGTCAGCAGCGAATAGCGATGACAACCGTGACGTGAAAGTTTTTGATTTTTCTGTCGATTTAAAAGACTGGAACAAAATTGGTCATTCCAAAAAACGTCTCGAAAATAATAGAATTATACTCACCCTAAATCCCGGATGGACTGATATTTTTATTGACTCTCTGCTAAAAGATTTTCCAACTAACTGTACTTGGCAGATTAAAAAACATCAACTTAATTCAGATTTGGAAATTTTCATAATGGGGTATTGCAGCAATTGCACTGGAATATTGAAAAGCAACAGTTTTCAGACAATAGAAAATGAGGATAATCTTTTCTTTCGATGTGAAGTGTCCAATACGTCATGCCAAAAAATAAATACAAAAAAACGCAAATTGATGAGCGTCAAACGAAAGGAAATTGGGGATGAATTGGCAGAAGGAAAGTTTGCTATAAACTGGAGGAGAGAAAATGCCAATAAAATGATGACATTCGGTGAACCGGAGCCATGCAATTTGTATTCTTTGGATACACTGAAAAAATGTAAACAAGAAGCGATTGCGAGAAAGATTAAATATAACCCTTTGGACAAATGCCCGATACATTCTTTATTATTATTAAAATATTCTCAGCAATACTCCTGTATAATAAGAAACATAGGATTT